GTTTTCATAGTTATTATCGTTATTTACGTTATTATCGTTCTTATTATTCTTATTGTTAATATCGTATTTATTATTATTATTGTTATCATTATCGCAATTATCGTTATCATCAATATTATCGTTATTACCGTATATAACCTTACAATCGCTATTAACGTTATTATCATCATTATCATTACTTTTATTATATCCTAATTACCTTCATTATCATTATTCTCGTTATTACCGTTAATTTAATTATTACCATTATCATTAGTATGATTATCATTATTATATTTATTCTCATTACTTCCATTATCATCGATATTATTAATATTATCATTATTATCCTTATAACCTTTATTATAGTTATTATAGTTATAACCGTCTATATCGTTATTATCGTTATTATTATTATCACCGTTATTGTGGTTATTTTTACTATAAAAAATAATAAAAATGTGTTATTATTATCGTCATACTCGCAAGTATCGTTATTATTGATATTATCGTTCTTATCGTTATTATCGTTATTATCGTTATCATGATTATTATCGTTATTATCCTTATTATTATTATCATTATTATTATTATTATTATTATTATTATTATTATTATTATTATTATTATTATTATTATTATTATTATTATTATTATTATTATTATTATTATTATTATTATTAATATTATTACTATTACTGTTATTATTGTTATTATTGTAATTGTAGTTAAAATTAAAATTATCGACATTATTATCGACATTAACGTTATTATAGATATTATTGTCATTATCGTCATTATCGTTATTATTATATTTATCGTTGTTATCGTTAATTTCGTCATTATCGCCATTATCGTTTTTTATAATCATCGTTATTATTATTATTATTATTATTATTATTATTATTATTATTATTATTATTATTATTATTATTTCATTAACGTTATTATCGTTGTGACCATTAAAATTAATTTTATGATCTTTATTAATAATACTGCTATTGTTATTAATATTATCATACTTATCGTTATTATCGTTATTATCGTCATTATCCTAATTATCGTCATTAATATTATCATCGTTCCTATCGGTATAATTATTATTATTAATATTATCATTATTATTCTTATTATCGTTTTTATCCCACCAAGTGTGTAGGGGAACGTAGAATATTCCCACAGTACATCCTTCTTGTCGTAAGAGGCGTCTAAAAGGGACTGTGTGAATGGTGTATGAATGTCCTTGTACGGCTATTCCTTCCTTTGTTCTTCTGTCATATCTTTCTCTATTCTATCTTTCACTCTCAAGCTTCCTTCCGTTCCCCTCAGGGGTTCGTTTTGTGGAACTTGCCTAGCATAAATATATTACTCATGATGGATAGTACAGCGAGAGGCAAAAGCGGGCGTGGGAGGGACACCCACTCCTCGGCGGTGTCAGGTGGTGGGCGGGCAGACCTCCTGCCGTCCTCATTCTTTAAGTGCCAGGAGCTTGGGTTAGACGACCTGGACCCAGCTCTAGATAATTCATCTGGAAGGGCACCACAGGTAGGCGACCTGGCCTACAGTATGACGAAAACGCTAGGAAAGGTAAGATATGAGGAAGGACACTTGGTGGAGTGGCAAAGGGCTGCCAGTGACGTTGATAGCATTTGTTACTCCGGCCTGACGTCACCTATCCAGCCTGCGAAGGAGATACAACAAGATATAGAGAGAGAGAAACTCTCGCAAGCAAAAATCCTCATTGCCAAAATGAGGTTGGCTGTTACTAAACAGCCAAACGTAAACAATGCTATTAAGCAAGGTCTCCCAGAAATGGAGGACATCATTGACAGTCTCGAGTTCATGTGTAAATCTCGAAAAAAGGTCAATAAGGGAACGAAGACCCTTGCCCGAGTTTCTTTGATCCCTTGGGCAAATTCTATAAAAGATGCTGGCGCAGTTAAGAGAGTAACCACAAGTCCGCCACAGTTGCCTGCTGAAAGCCTCAAAGAACCGTGCCAAGATGCGACGACGACTGAAGCCACCAAGTGGACGGAGGTCGTCAAGGAGAGAAAAAATAAGGAACAACCAGCGAAGAAGGGGACGATAAATCCACAGCAGGAGAAAAGGAAGCCGAGCAAATTGGTGGACAGGTCGAGAAAGAGAACGAAGCCGGACGCGATCCTCCTGAAGCTTGTGCAAGATAAACTTGTGCAGACGTAGTCGGAGCCATCCACCAGCGTATCAAGACCAGCGCTGTAGGGGTACACGTTGGATCGGTCCGGCAGATCAGAACGGGAGATACGTGAATGCGACTGCCGCACATCGTTAGTAGAAGTTGAGGAGGCCCTAAAAAGGACCCTGCCAGACTACGCGGGGAATTTCGAAGTTAAAATGACCGAACCGAACGCAAGACAACAACGCCTGGCCATCGCCAAAATTGAAGAGGAAGCAGCTGCGAAGCTTTTGAAGGCCGGCTGAGTGCTGGTCGGCTTCGACAGCTGCAGGGTCAGGCGAAGAACAGTGAGGCGATGCAACCGATGCCTCGACTATGGACACCATAGCGCTTCGTGTAAGGACCATAATTGCAGTAAGTTTTGCCATTTCTGCGGCGGCACGGGGCACAAGATCAAAGACTGTGTGATCAGCGAGCCTACTTGCCTCTAGTGCTCCAATAGCGTTGCTGAACCTAAGAAGAACTTGGCGGGATCAAGGGCCTGCAAAGCTTTCCAGGAGGCCCTTGCAACAGCCAACAAGTGGAAAAAAGGATGAGAGTACTTCAGGGTAACCTCAATAGGAGAAGAACGGCACAACACCTACTGACCCAGCTCTGCTCTGAGAAAAAAGCTGATATTGTTTTAATCAGCGAACAGTACCAGGACAGAGCAGGAGTAGGATGGTACGCAGACGAATTGGGCACCGCGGCCATCTGGATCCCAGATACCCGACAGATACATTTGTCGGATCAACGATCCGGACGCGGTTACGTTTCGGTGAGAAATAACTTGACGACATATGTCAGCGTATATCTCACCCCGAACGACGGGATAGACGACTTCCAGAACATACTGCTCGATTTCGAAATCGCACTACGGGTAAGTAAGGGGATCTCATTGTGGTTGGAGACCTCAATGCCAAAGCTCTCGAATGGGGGGAGGCCAAGCCGGACTCCAGAGTAAGGCGAATCATGGAGGTGGTGTCGAGACTGGAGCTTGTAGCGCTCAACACAGCCTCAATGTCAACCACCTCCCTGAGTAGGGGTGTAAAATACTCCCACAGTACTCCCTGCTTGTCGTAAGGAGCGACCAAAAGGGATTATGTGAATGGTTTATGAATGTTCTTGCATGGCCGTCGCTTTCTTTGCTCTTCTGTCATATCGTTTTCTATTCTTTCTTTCTCTCTCTCTGGCTTCCTTCCATTACGTTCACTTTCATTGGGGAGACCGGCTCTCATTAACATTTATTCAATCAAACATGCATAACACGACCAAAGGAATAAGCGGGCGTGTGAGGGATACCAATGCCACGGCAGTGTCAGGTGGTGTTAGGACAGGACACCTGCCGTAGCCAACTAACGACTGCCAGGAGCTCGTGGTAGGCAACCTGGTCCCAGCTTTGAATAATGAGTCAGCAAGGGCACCACAGGTAGACGACCCGGCCTGAAGTGTATCTAATGCGCCAGGAAGTGTAGGAAGGGAAGGGTGCCTCACAGCAGAGTGGCAGAAGGCTGCCAGGGCCGTTAGAGCACAAGGCTCTCCGGCTTGAATTCACCAAAGCAATTGAGGAAGAATTAACGCGAGGGCCGTGGTCTACACGTACGAGACGGAAAAGTCGCGTTAGACTGAACCGTGCTGGGTGAGGGAAGACCAGCGGAGTCCCCCGCCTAGTCTCAGGTAGTGACTGGTAGGGTGATCGATACTCTGAGGGAAGCTTCCATAAAGGTCGAAAGTGCTAGGGTGAGAGGTCGCAAACTTAAAGAGTACATCTCGGTGATCATTAAACGTTCCCATAGAGTAACCATGGAGGGAATCAAGACTCTAAGGGTGAGGCTACAAGCCCGAGCAGATGATCCTCCGTCAGCCAAGGAGACCATTAAGCAGTTGAAGGAGGAACTCAGGGCCGTGGATCTGCGCAATAGGGAAATCACGCAGGAGGACATTTGCCTCAAGATGGTAATTAAGAAGAGACAAAAAATTCTGGAAAATCCCTTGGATGTGAAAAACCAAGAAAGGTCCCCGAAACCAAACCACTCATACGAGTCGGTAAGGATCCTGGCAGAGGGTGTCCGCAGTATACAGCAACCGGAGCAGCTAGTACAGCAGCAGCAACTGCAACAGCAAAACCAGCGTGAACAGCAACAGCGGCATCAGACATCGAGTGGAGCATCGACAGGAGCTAGTGGACCGCACAAAGGCCCTGCATTCCGTGCTGGGTCCACTAGATCCCCTGCATAACAGGTAAGTGTAGGTAAGACACTAACCCCGCAAAATGATTTTCTACAGTTGCTTGTCCGAAAGAGGAGACGGGTCCAGAGGAGAGAAGCGAATACACTCTCCCTGGCTACATCAAAGGATGAACAACTCTTAACCCTCCCGGGGACAGGCGCCCAGCCTGTCTTTTCTAAAAGAAGGAAGTGGAGGAGCGGCGCGCAGCGAATAAAGCTGGGAATGCAAAGGGAAGGAAAAGTAGCTGCAATTTCCCTATCCTATACCGAGGAGCCGACGTACAAAGACGCACTCGTCCGGGCCACGGAGGGGATCAACGTCAATGACCTGGGAATCGGTACAATGTCCTGTAGGAGAGGCCTCACGGCTGCCATTAAATCGCAGGTACGAGGCAAAGGGGCAAATTCAGAAGGCCGACCTGCTGGCGGAGGCCTTAAGGTCCAAGGAGCGGAGATTACTCGCCCCCAGCGCACGAGCATCCTGGGAAGTCCCTGGGAAGCCTCAACCCACAGATCCGAACGGGAGGATAGTTTACCTTCTGAATATTTTTCCCATCCTCCCGGGACAGTCAATGAAATCCTGATTGTCACTGGAAGGATTAACTGTCCTCCCCCATCGCGTCGATTAACTCATTCCTGGCATCTGTCCACGCCGGGGAGTCAATCAGGTTGTGTTCCGCCGTGTCCTCACTCCCCTCGCAGTGGAAACAACGTGTGGAGGGAAACTTCTTTATCTCATTTAAATATTCCGAGAAACAACATAGGCAGGACATCAGCTGTGTGGTGTGAAATGTCGCTCCGATAGAGAACGTCCTCCCAATACAATCAGCCAACCATTCGGCAATAGCTGCCCTCGTGCGCACTCCTGTTGCCTCTGGTGCACCTACGTGCTCTAGTTTCTCAGTCCTCCAAGCTTCCATTACCCTCCTTCTGGCAAGAGCACGCAATACAGCCTTAACACGCGGAGGAACAGGTTCCTCCGCGTCTCTAACAGTCTCATACGACGCCGCCAGCTGGGGTGCCAAATGAGCGAGAGGAATAATCCCCGCAATCATCATATCCGCATGGAAGGTGTCCGTCCTATATGCACAACACACCCGGACCACCACCTTCCTTTAGAAGCTTCGAACAGCCCACCCGATCATGTTCTCCACGAGGGCGCGATACCACACCGTCGCCCTATATTGGAGCACCGAGTGGATCACGCCGCCATAGAGGCGCCGCTTCCTCTCTCCCGGTCCGTGAAGGTTCGGAAGGAGCCTCCTAAGGTTCCGGAGGATACCCTCGGCTATAGGGATCAGGGCCTCAAAGTGGGGCCTGAACGACATCCTTGGGTCTATCACTATGCGCAGGTATTTAACACTGGTTCTAATCTCTACGCAAACCCCTTTAAAGCAAATTTTAGGGGGTGGGACATTCCTGCGTCTGCAGAAGATAGAGGCAGGGAAGGCCATGTCCTCCGTTTTTTGCGGCGCCACTTTAAGACACAATCCCTTGATCTCCCTTACCAAAACGTCCAAGTCCCGCTCGGCGTTCATAATTACCTGAGACAGATCCCATCCTGATAACAGGAGGGCAGTGTCGTCCGTATAGCAGACAACACGGGAGCCACCTGGCATCGAGGTTCAGAGGAAACTGTCATAGGTAATGTTCCACAACGTAGCGCCCAAAATGGATCACTATAGGACCCCACAATACACGTGTCTTTCCACAGCGCGTCCATACTTGTCCGAAAACGCGATTGCGCGATTTTCCATGTAGCTCCTGATAATGTTCACCAGGTAGCGTGGACAATTTTCACGCTCCATCGCCCTAACGATAACGGCCCACGGCAAGGATCTGGAAGCGTCCGAGAAATCGAGGCTCACCAGGATAACCACCTTCCTGAACCGCGTCGATGCCACCACGAAGTTTTTAACATCTAGGACAGCATCCGCGGTGGATCTTCCCGACCTAAATCCATATTGTGATGGCGAAAGGGTCCGAGTCTCCTCTAAGAAGCTGTTGATCCAGTCAACATTTACCCGCTTGAATAGTTTCCCCAGTTCACCAATCACGGATATAGGTCTATATTATCCCGGTGAATCCGGGTGCGCGTCCCTTTTCTATTTGATCAAGATGAGCCTTGCTATCTTACACGCTGTCCGGAACCTTCCTGTCCTCAAGCATAAGGCGAAGTACTGCGCCAACCATTTTCCACAGTGTGTCGACACAGCACACACAATCACAGCCGGTATTCCATCCATTCCAGGAGCCTCTCTTCCTTTTCCTTTCCGGCCAAGATCTCCTCCGCAGAGACAGTCACCACTGAAAGCGTTCCTGCGGCTCATCAGTTCCCGGACCTTCTGGGAATAGCTCAGAGAGGATATTCTCTAGTACCTCATTCTCCATGGTTACAGTGACTGTTGTGGCATTAGGCCTTAGTTTCCGCATGACCAGTTTGTAAGGCCTTCCCCATGGATCCTCCTCTATGGAGTCCTGCAGGTCCCTCCATGAGGTCTTCTTGGCTACCTTAATAGCCATAGTCAGTACCCATCTTGCGTCCCATCGAGCGTCCAGGCACCGCACTATTTCCTCACTGTTCTTTTTTTCCTGACTCTGGGAAGTTTCCTTACTGTGGCCGTCGCAACCGTCCTTAATAAGTACTTTCTCTACCGTGGTACTGTCTCCTCACTCGGGACAAAACCATGTCGCACGCTTGCTTCAGTGTAGACTGTGCCCACTTCACAATCTTGTCCACACAGTCCGCACCGGCCGCACTCCTTCCGCACCTAGTTCCGACCATCCACTCCCATGAAATAAGGGTCGCAGCCAAGTAGTCCTCATCCAGGTAGTTAACCTTCCAGCGAGGGAGCTTCTTACCTTGCGGGGGAGAATTTCGGACCCCTGCAGCCTCGTGCCAGTAGCTATAACTAACATACAGGTGATCCGATAGTGACTCAGCATTTTCCATCCTCCAGTACGGGAGCTGGACGGCAGGCGCCGACGTGCCCCACGTTAAATCTATTACGCTCGAACCCTGCAGTCGAACGAACGTGGGACAGCCAACCCGGTACAGCAGCTCCAGGTCCATTCAGTTGGCCCAGACGCAGAGCAACTCACCCCTATGGTTACTACTACCTACCGTGTCTCATCTTCTGGACCGTGCATTAAAATCGCCAGCCACCTGCGCTGAGAGAGCGGGGAATGTTCCTAAGAGCTCTTCAATCTCATCAAGGAGACTACTAAGCATGATCATGTTCTCGCTGGGAGGAAAGTTGACAGAAACTACCAGCGAGTCCACCCAGTTAACGGCTACGTAAAAAAACCCGACGAACCAGGCTACAGGTTCCTCTACACTCGCCCACAAGAACCGCGTAAAGTGGAGTCCCTCCTATGGATGAAAACCACCTCTCATCCCCCGGAGGAAACCACCATGGTTCCGCAATGTCCGCGAGCTCCACCCTGTCGTCGTGCATGCGTTACTCCTGCACGTTCTGTGCATGGCGCGCGTCGTTCACGTTTATTTGTGAAAAACAGAGGATATAGCTTCGCTTAATGCAACTAGCGCGACCCCAAAGGTGACGAGCAGATGCATCTTCGGCGTAGGCAGCATAGGAACGCAACAACGCGCCGATCGATTGTGCGAACTTCGTCCAAGGCTACTCACCGTGCGACCCACCGCTGCGTTCCGTTTCCCGCACAAACCGGTCTGCATCAGGTGATAACCAGTCCTCGAGAGACTATAGTAGCTTTAGAATGGTGCGATAGGAATTTACCAAGGCCATATTTAATGGCCACGCAAGCGAATGCCGTGGATTTTCCATCTGTCGTGAATACCGGATTAGGAGCGATATGTCCTAATTCGGGTGACAGACAGGCCGAACAGAATTTAGAGTGCTTACCGATTACCATGCGACCGCGATAGCGCACATACTCTCGTATGCAATCTGTAGAATCCTCCACGAAAAGAGAACATTTGCTCCCTGCCCCTAGGGATAGCGCAACCACCGTAACAATAGGTCTCAAATAACGCGATGAAATATTCCCCTACCACCTATTACTGAGCTAGACGCTGAGCAAGGTAGCACGAGCTAACCCCCCACTGTCGGAAGCGGCAGGAAAGGTAGACGTCGCACTATCGGAAACCCTTGAAGAACACGACTCACGTGTATTCCCTGACACAACTTACGCGATAGGCGTGGATATCGAAATGAATGCACCTCGAGTTACCTTTACCGAACCCTGCGTATCAATCTGTGGCAACAACACGTTCTCGACCGATACCTCCCCCTCCCGGCAAATTGCGCATTCTCGAAAATCCAACTTCTGCAACTCAACATGGGGCGTTCTAGAACGGTAAAAGGCGAAGTCCACGAATTGATTAGTCAGAAGACCCTAAACGTGCTGCTCTTGCAAAAGCCGTACGTCCAAAGGTACGGGACAGGTTACGAAATCGTAGAATGAGGCAGTGGAACAAGGATAGCTGCCACTCGCGACGAAAGACCTTGATCAGTGGTTGCGGCAACCAATCCGAACATCGCGTTGCATTTCATCTCACAGCTCAGCACTCCCCATTGCGTCTCTGCGGAAGTACAGGCACCCAGCTCTTCCCTTTGCGTTGTATCTTATTATTTCCAGTATAGCGACCAAATAGAGGAGCACCTTAGGCACCTGGAATCAATAAAGCTTGCCCTAAGGGGGGAGAGAGTAATTATTTTACTGGACGCCAACGCACGATCTCCTCTCTGGGGCCCTGAGGGCACTGATGAGGGAGGCTCGAAATTAGAAGCCCTCATCCGGGCATCCGGGTTAAGAGTAATTACCGACGTGAAGCAGCCACCCACGATTTGGACGACGAGAGGCTCCTCGTGTATTGACGAAACCCTGTCGTCACAATCCATGAGCAGATCCATAGGCCAATGGAAATAAGAACAGGACGGACGTCCAGTGACTATAACTCGATTGATATCGCGATTCATCCCACGAAGGCTGAGTCTGGTCGAGGGGGGCGCGCGTGGCGTGGGGAACAAGAGGTTCAATACAAAGAGAGCTGATTGGGATCTGTTCGCCGAGCATCTACTCTCCCTCTCCGCGGCAAGGCTGAAGGGAAGCAGTTTAGGATCCGCTTTAGAGGTAGAGACACGAGCCAATGTGCTTACCAGTGTCCTAAAACCTGCGTGTTCCGAATCGATGCTCCGCAAAAAGACCCATAGGGAGTCTAACCCGACGTGGGCGTCTGCGGTAACGACACAGAAGAAAGCGGACTCCCGACAAAGGCGCGCGTTTCAGCAAGAAAAAGACCACCAGGTACGCTTTGGGTTAATGCGTGAATACCGTTCTTCGTTCCGAGAATATAGTAAAGTAGTACGACGTGCTAATTGTGAGATTTGGAGGAAATTCGTTATAGAGCATGGTAACGCGGAACCGTGGGGATACATTTATAAGCAGCATGAAGGAAAACTCCGCGTCGAAAGGGTGATCAACATCCTCAAACGAGAAGGCGGAAAGACTACGAATGTTCGCGATACGGCAAGAATCCTCCTCAACACGTATGTCCCGGATAACTGGGTGTCCGAAGACACGACGGAACAGCGCGCGGTGCGTAGCACTTTCCCAAACGTCCCTCAATCCGAGGATGCCACTCTCTTCACGAAGGAAGAGGTCTCGTGAGTAATGGGATCCCTTAGAAACGGAATGCCCCGGGGCCCGATCTTATCGAGGTATGCGTGCTCAAGAGAGCAATTGCCATCATCCCATCCCAATTCGTCGATCACTTTAACGGATGTCTCTAGTGGGGTATATTCCCATCCATCTGGAAAGAGGGCTCCTTAAGAGCATCACTTAGAGGCTGCTTAAGTTGCAGCTTAATGAATATTCCCTCGCACCGGGTAACTTTCGGACAAGCATTATGGCTTTGCCTCGGGACTCTCCTCTGAGGGCGCGATAGTAGAGTTGCGCAGAATCGTTTCTGCCTCCTCACGGAGATATGTCATTACACTGTAATACGATATATCGAGAGCCTACGATAATGTTTGTTGGCTCTTAGTTCTTAAGGAACTCCAGGATAGGGATTATCCGAGAAATGGTTTCAATGTTATAACAAGCTACTTCGCGGACCGTAAGGTAAAAATCGCTTTAGCAGATCATGAGATTTCTAAGCAGGCTTCGAGAGGATGCCCACAAGGAACGGTCCTTGGCCCCTCCTGCTGGAACATCATGTTTGACCAACTCCTCCGGATACTCGAGGAATCATCAGAAATCAACGTGATCGTGTACACGGACGACCTACTCATCGTCCTAGATGGAGATTCTAGGAAGGTACTAGAGGAAGAGGGAAATCGCGCGGTTAAATGCATCACCGGATTGTGCTCAACTGCTAAATAATCTATCTCCGAACGTAAAACCGAGGCTATCGTCCTGAAAAGTGATTGGGTTAAGAGGAAAGCCATAGGTAGAAGAGATGAACAGCGCCCGGATGGGAAGCAGAAAACAACATCAAAAAAGACCGACTTAGCTAGTCGGCCATCCACTATTAAGATATGGAATAATTCTGTAAAATTTAGGAACTCCGTTAGATACCTCAGGGTATACTTTGATAAAGGGCTGGGAGTTACGAAGCATTGCCGGTTCCTCAAGGACAAAGTCGTGCCATTGTTCGCGAAAATAGGTAGATTATCGGCCAGAGAATGGGGACTCCGCCTCTGCGCTCTACGGGCGATCTATCTAGGCCTAATCATCCCCACGGTCACGTACGCCGCAGCGGGAAGGTCGGATCTCTTCACCGAAGGAGTTCTGAAAAAGTTAAGCACGATCCATCGATCAGCTCTCATTTCGGTTACATCCGCGTATCGTACAACAACTACGGAATCCCTGTCCGTCGTGGCATAGGAACCTCCGATAAATCTCCAGTTATTGAAGCGTGGAAAACTATATGATATCAGGAAAAATAGTAGAATCGAAACAGTGACGTGTAAACTGGAAGACACGAAGCATAACCGCGCGATAGCAGGACAGGTCGATGTGAAAATCTCCAGGGTATGGCAGTCCAGAAGGGAGAACTCCTCAGAAGGTAGGAATACGTACGCGTACTTCCCGGACATCAAGGAAAGGATGGGTGCTCGTTTCGTATCTCCTAACCACTTCATATCTCAGTTTCTTACAGGACACGGAGCTTTCAAGGCCAAGCTGAAGTTGCTGAACATCACCATGGAAGGAACGTACGAGTGTGGCGAGGAAGACACGGTTTTGCATCACATCGTCGACTGTCCGGTTTTTGAATCCCAGACGGTGGCTCTAGAGGAAATTCTCGGCGAAAGGATTTAGCCGGAAACAGCGAGACATTTTTTCTCCACAGCCGAGGCTTTCTCCCTCTTCGGGGAGTTTTGCAAAGAAACCCTCCTTGTCAAGCGATGTTACATCGTGAGTCCTGTTCGGCTGGGACTGTCGGAGTATTGGCGCTGGATGTGGGTGTTTGTAATTTTCTCAGGAAAGCCCATTCTAGAACAGGATAGGGTCGGAAAAGCTCCCTATTTTATTTTTCATATATCATCCATCTCCCTCCGAGAACCTGATATCCTTCCAATCCCATCTCATCCTACGAAACGATTGTCAATGGTCGTGGTACTGTGAGTGGGCCTCCCCGTGGTTCCCCGTTGGCACGGCTGGTATCAGCGCAGTGATTCGTTGCTGCGAGGATGTTGGTCGTGGCTAAACTGCTCATCCTGCCCGCCGGCAGGAGTTTTGGTTCTTTCCGATTCCAGTGTCTTCGTTGTGGTGGCTCCGGTCTGTAGGTAGTTCCGCAGCGTATGGCCTAATGGGCGAGGTAGCATAGGTGTAGGCACCCTTCGGTTGTCCACCTTTACAATATACTGTGCCGGGAGAATGGGTGGCCTGTCGGACCTTCGCTGGACGGGTAACGCGTGCAGAGGAGGACGCTGAGAAGCGCAGGGAACGGTCGCGAAGAGAAGAAGGATGTGTGAATGAACGTGCGGGTGTGTACATTGACAGGACTGCGAGCAATAGGCCGGATAGAGAGTAGATCCAATGCGGCTACCTCGGGCAAGGCTCCGAGCGCCACAGGCGATGCCTTCCCCAAGCGTCACTTCCCTCTAGACGTGAATGTGTGTATACAAACGTGAATGGGCCCGGTCAGAGCTCCATGGAGTGGGAATCGGGCTAATATGTATATAGTTAGGGAGTATTTATAATACCAGGGGCTCGTGGGCTCTTGTCGTGTGCGGCGTATTGGTGTGAATGGAGATGAATGAATGAATGAGGGCAAGGCGAATATCGGCCTGGCTCAACGAGGAGGGTTGCTGGGTGAATTTGTAATATGCATTTGCGTCTCCCCACCCACCCCCTTTCATCTCAGCGTGTTTGTTATAAGAATCGTGAGATTTTTTAGGTGGTAGGCGATCCGACCTTGGGAGTATTCTCAGACGGGCTGAATACGACACTCCCCTGAGTATCGCTCGTAGGGGGCTTATTACGGTAAATATTTCTGACGAAACCAGAAAAGGCTCAACGTCATCCTTCCGAAGGCCTGGCTACAGAGAGGCTATTCTGGAAGTCTCCCTAGCCAGCGAACACATTGCGGCAAGATCAGCAGCCTGGTGGGTAATCGATTACATCGGGAGCGTTCATCAGTACATCCTACTCGACGTACACGATAGGAGGCCAGCCGTGACAAGTGGAGCTCCATCCCCCCGGTGGAACATCGCAAAAATGGATGGAGAGGGGCTGTCTTCTGTCATAGATGTAGGTTGTAGACTCCATCAAATTGTTTCCGCGAGTACATCGCCAACTGCACAAGCCAGAATGATTATTGCAGCAACTATGCAGCTCATCCAAAAGTCTTGTGCGATAGCGGTACCAGAGAAGAGCACGAAACGGCATAGTCGTCCTATACTGGTGGATGCACGAGATCACAGATCTTTGCAAGAAGTGCTTAAGGATTTGCCGGTGTGTAGAACGAGCGAGAAATGCCATCTCGACGGTGCTCCCTTGGCCGCAGAGTACCATGTGGCCAAAAAACACTGAAGTGGACCTTCAAGGGCAACCAGAGACGGTGCAGGAAGGAGCTGTGCCTGGATGTCGACCAGATGCCGTGGGGACTAGGGTACCAGATTGTCACTCGCAAGCTAGTGACGCACACTCAAGGATTCCCGCAGGACGCGAGGACTTTGGAAAACATTCCCCTGAGCCAATGAGCAGACCAGAAGGGCCACAATTTACTGAGGAGAAGCTATTCAGGGCCGCACCTACCATGCAGGACACGAAAAATCCAGGACCAGACGGCCTTCCGGTGGAAGTAATAAAAGCTGTCGCGTAGAGTCACCCCAAGCCCATACTATACATGTACAACATGTGCCGCAGGATGGGAATCTCCCAGCCCTGTGGAAGAAAGTCAGACTTGTGCTCATAAGCAAGGGCAATTGTCCAGCAGATGCCGCTTCATCATACAGGCCTATTTGTATCATCAATACTGCTGTTAAGCTCCTGGAGAAGCTGCTTCGGCAACCGCTGCACGCAGCCGTCGGGGCAGCGGGGGATCTTTCCGCTCGCCAGTATGGATTTCGATCCGGCCTCTCCATCATCCAGGCAGTCCAGGAGGTTTTTGCGGCCGCTAAAATGACGGAGCGAGGGAATCATCTAACTCGTCCTTTGTGTCTGCTGGCCACCGTAAACGTGAGAAATGCTGTCAACTCCGACAGGTGGGACTTGGCAATGGAAGCGCTCGAACACAATTTCAGCGTCCCGGAGTACCTACTCCGAATTCTCGGGGATTACCTAAACGAGCGCTTCCTAGATCACAATACTGGCGATAGTCCGAGAAGCTTGGAGTTGATATCGGGGATAGCCCTGGGCACCATAATGGGATCGGATATGGATCTGGAATATTTTCTACGATGGCATCCTGGCAGTCCTTGAAGGTGCTTTCTTGGTTTGTTACGCAGATGACACTGCAGTTGTCATAACTGCAAGAGACACCGAGTGAGCACAACAGCTGCTCAACCAGGTCATACGCAGAGTAATCTCCAGGATGGATGACCACGGGCTATCTCTAGCAGCTCAGATGACATAGATCGTGCTAAGACGACGAATGGCAATTACAACTTTTGCAGCTTCATTGTAGGAGTCACGATGGTCCAGCCTAAGTCGGCTGTCAATTACTTAGGTGTAATGCTTGACAACAAACTAAATTATGGAGAGCACATAATTAGGGCGACCGAAAAGGCGGCAAAAGTAGTAGCCATGCTCGGCATACTGATGGCCAATGTAAACGGTCCCCGATCGTGCATAAGACGACCTCTGATGCGCGCTACCGAAGCAGTGATGTTGAACGGCGCGTATGTTTGTTCCGAGGAGCTATTACACGAAAAATACCGCAAGCGCATAGACGCGGTATACAGGAGGGGCGTTCTCTGAATCGCGTGCTCCTACCACTTGGTCTCTCAGCCCGCTGTGCTGGTGGTCGCGGGGGTAATTACGATCGATTTACTAGCCCAGGAGAAACATTTCATCCTCCAGCAAAGGCCCGTTCTGGGAAATGAGGAGGCATCAAGGCTCGCCTGGGCTACCAGCACCGATACCTGGCAAAGCTGATGGGAACGGGAGCCTAGGGGCAGATGGACGGCCGGACTCATCAGTCGGCTAGAAAGCTGGCTAAACCGGGTGGCGGGAGAAATCGACTTCTACCTCAACCAATTGTTGACAAGGCATGGTCTGTTCTGCTCTTACCTCGCAAAAATGAGGACAGTAGCAGACGCCAAATGCCCCTATGGCCGTCGACGATGCCCACCACACATTCTTCAAATGTGATAGGTAGAGCGTCGAACGACTCGCCTTGGAGCAAGACCTCGGAAAAATCTCGCCAGACAACATTGTCGAGAAAATGCTCCGAGGTCAGGAGGAGTAGAACTAGGTGGCCCAGTACGTCAGGACCACCTTGCGCAGAAAAAGGATGGGGATCGGTGGCACATATACCTGCCCCCAACGTTGCTGCAGGCTCCTGCTCCGTAGAGCCGAAGGGAGAGTCCCGTAATGGGACCTGATGCTGTGGCTCCATCCCGACATAATGCCACATGGCGGTGCCGGAATGGTAACACTATGCCACTAGGATGGATATGAGTTTAGTCGATAATACGTATTACACCGCTGAACCCGACACTCCAGGGACTTTAATGGGGAAACCAAATAATGAGGGGTTCTTTTGTTGGCATGGTTCCGGGGTGAGTGCGTAAAGTTTGGCATTCTCAGACCATCAGAAAAAAAGTACTATCGTTATTATCGTCATTATCATTATTATTATATTTATTGTTATTATTATTATAATTATCGTTATTATCACTATAATTATCCTTACTATTATTATTATTATCGTTATTATCGTTATTATCGTTTTTAACATTTTTATCGTTATTGTCGTCTTTATCGTTAATTTTTTTATTATTATCATTACCATTATTATCGATATTATTATTATTATTATTATTATTATTATTATTATTATTATTATTATTATTATTATTATTATTATTATTATTATTATTACTATTATTATTATTGTTATAGTTCCTACCGTTATAATTATTATTATTGTTATTAATAACGTTAATAATATTATTATTCTTATTATCGTCATTGTCGTTATTATCGTTATTATCGTTTTTAATGTTTTTATCATTATTGTCGTCATTATCGTTAATTTTGTTATTATTATCATTATTATCGATATTATTATTATTATTATTATTATTACTATTATTATTATTATTATTATTATTATTATTATTATTATTATTATTATTATTATTATTATTATTATTATTATTATTATTATTAATATTGTTACATTTATTATTATTATTATTATTATATTTCTTAACATCATCATTATTATTATGGTTATTATTATCGTTATTAACTTTATTTTCCTTATAACCGTTATTACCGTTATTGTCGTTATACCTTTATTACAGTTATTATCGTTATTATCGTTATTATTATTATTTTTTCTATTATCGTTATTATTATTAAAATCGCTATAATCGTTATTACCGCTATTGTCGTTACAATCGTTATTATCGTTATTATCATTATTATAGTTATCATTATTATTGTCGTTATTATCGTTGTTATTATTATTATTATTGTTATTGTTATTATCGTTTTAATCGTTACTATTGCTTTTGTCGTCATTTGCGTTATTATCGTTTTTACAGTGAATTTCGTTGTAGTCGTTATTACCGTCATTATCACTATTTTTATTGTTGTCGTTATTATTGCTATTATTTTTATTATTATTTTTAACGATATTATCGTCATTAATGTTATTATCTTTATTATTACTATTATTATATTTATCGTTATTATCTTTACTGTCGCTATTACGGATATTACCGTATTTATCGTTAAATTTAATATTTTCGTTATGATTAATTTTATTCTCATCATTGTTATATTTATTTTCGTTATTGTCTATTATTATCGTTATTACCGTTATTATCGTTATTATCGTTTTATAGTTATTATCGATATAATCGTTATTATTATTATTATAGTTATTATCGTTGTTATCGTTATTATCGTTATTATCGTTATTATAGCTAATACCATTATAATCGCTGTTATTGTTAATAACATTTTTATCACTTTTTCTCATGTTATTGTTATTATTATTACTGTTGTTATTATTATTATCGTTATTAATGTTATTATCGTTATCAATGTTCTTACTATTAGGGCTATTAGTATCGTATTATATTTGATTTATTATTAATATTATTATTATTATTACCCTTATTATCGTTATTATCAATTTTATCGTTATTTTTATTATTATTATGATTAGTCTTATTATTATACTTATTTTCGTTAAAATCGCTTTTATTTTTATTATTAATGTTATTACTATTATTATCTTTATTATCATTATTATCGTTATTAATATCGTTCTTATATTTACAACCGTTATTCTCGTTATATTTGCTATTATTATAGTAGATATTATCGTTGTTATTATTTCCACTAATATTATTATTATTATTAATATTCTTCTTCTTATTATTATTATTACTGTTATTAACGTTATTATCGTTATAATTGTTATTATCGTTATTATTGTTATTAAGGTTACTTTCGATTATAACGTCATTATCGTTATTATTGTAATTATTATTTTTATTATCGTTATTATCATTATAATCGATATTATCGTATATACCGTTATGTTCGCTATTTACATCCTTATCGATTTTATTATTAATATTATTATTAATATCAATATTTCCGTTACAACAGTTATTATTGTCATTTTTGTTATATTTCTTTTAGTTGTTATTATAGTTATCTCGTTATTATCGTAATTAACGTTTTTGTCGTTATTGTTGTTATTATTATTATTAACGTTATTATAGTTGATATTATTGTTACTTTTAATATTAATATTATTATCGTTATTATCACTATCATTGTTATAATCGCTATTACGGATGTTGTCATGATCGTTCTTTTTATTTTTATCGTTATTATTAATATTAATGTTATAATTACTATTATCATAAATCGTTTTGTCGTTATTATCGTTATTATAGTTAATAATATTATTATCTCTGATATTGTTATTATCGTTAATATTATTATAAGAGTAAGTATCGTTATTATCGTTATAATCGTTAATATCCTTATAATCGCTATTATCGTTATTTTCGTTATTATATTTAATATTACTTTTATCGATATTATCTTTTTTATCGATATTATTTTCATTTTTTCGTTATAATCATTTTTATCGTTATTATCGTTATTATCGTTATTTTCGTTAATACCGTTTTTATCGTAATTTTAGTTACTATAATTATAATCGTTAATAGCGTCATTATCGTTATTTTAGTTATTAATAAATTTTACCGTTACTGTCGTTATTATTATTACAATTAATACTTTTGTCATCGTTATTGTAGATAATATCGTTTTTACCTTTATTATCTTGGATATAATAGTTATTATAAATTATCCTATCGTTATTATTATCGTTATTATCGTTAATATCGTTCTTATTATTCTTATTATTATTATAATTATCATTATCGTTATTATTGTTATCATTGTTATAATCGTTATTATCGGTATTATCCTAATAATCACTATTTGTGTTTTTATCGTTATTATTAATATTATTATGTTAATCGATATTATCATATCTCATTATTATCATTATTACCGTTATGAACATCTTTACACTTATTATTATTAATATTATTCTTAATATTAGTATTTTTACAATAATTATTATCGTTAATATTATTATTATTTTTATTATTATTATTATTATTATAAATTTATTACTATTATCGATATTACTGTTGTTATTATTATTATCAATATTATTATTGTTGTTATCGTTACTATCGTTATTATCGTTTTATACTCTTTCTTTATTATTATAGTTATTATTAATATAATTATTTTTATCGTTATTATCGTTATTATCGTTTTTATTTTTATTATCGCTATTATCCTTAAAATCGTTAATAGCGTTATTATCGTTATAATTATTATTATAATTATTTATGTTATTATCTGTATAATCGTTATTATCGTTATTACCGTTAATAACAGTATTTCTTTTTTATCGTTATTATTGTTATTATTATTATTGTTATTTTCCATATTATGGTTATAATCATTATTATAATTGTTTTTATAATTATTGTTATTATCTATACTATCGTTATTGTAGTCATTATCGTAATTATTACTATTATTATTTTTATTATTATAAATATTATCTTTATAATTATCGGTATTATCGCTAATATTGTTATTATCGTTAATATTATTATTATTACTATTATTATAGTTATATTAGTTTTATTGGTTTTACTGTCACTCTTATTATTATTGCTATTATTATCGTTATTAACGTT